GGAAACTTGGATTATATTGTGTTATTTACACATAGGCAAATTAAAATGAAGACTGAGACATATTGGAAAAATGGCCCCAAATCCATGAATGAGGAAAAAGAAACTGATTTAGAGGGGGAAAAAAAAAAGTCCAGATCAAATACGCCCAGTAATTGGACTTACCTGGATAATTTTGTCATCTCTCGATTTGTCACAATAAGGGCAAATATTTCTTAAGGACTTACTATATGATAGTTGTTATATTGATTTCAACTAATTGGCTCATTTAATCCTCTCCCAGACCCTATAAGATAGGTGCCATTACAACATCCAGAGAAATTCAGCTCAGAGAAATTATAGTATTTGTCCAAGTTAACACAGGTAGCAAGTGATCAAACCAAGACTCTATCTCAGGTCTGTCTGGCTCATAACTCTTAGACAGTATGCCTAGTGACAGCAGAATAGTAGGAATGATAAAAACTTGGTAGGCAAGTACAGTCAGGAGGCTGTTTATCATGACTTCAAAAACCTAGCTGCATAAACATGCTATGTATAAACTTCAAAGTTTGCTCAGCAAAAATATCATTCAATCTCAAAGATGAGAACCCACAGCTCAGAGAAGTAAGGCAGTTTAAAGTTCAAAAAAACAATAGAACACAACTCTTTCAACTCCTAGCTAGAGGCCAAATCCACGTTAGCTTTCTAGCATCAATTATGTCATATTTAAACAGTGACTCTAGCTGGTCCAGGATGATGACATTCAATTTCTCCTGACGCTTTCATTATTGGATCTGGCCCCGTCAGATTTTAAATTCCATTCTCAGAATGGAAACTTAAATCTTTTTTTAAAGCACCTTGGTTAATAATAAACTCACACGAGTTCACAAGTAAGTAGTCATCATGAGGCAAAACACGGTTTTGTGCGCTGTTTGGGGACTGGGTGTTTACTACACGGCGGTGGATTGCATAAATTCCAGGAACGAACATATTTCTAGTGGCGGTGCACTCAGCTATAATGAGAAGAGGCAGGAGCAGATAATCAACGGCAATGAAATCAGCCAAGTTGCCACCCAGAAATTATTTACCAGAGCAGCTGCAGTCCAGAAATGCAAACGAGCCACTCTCTCTGGGAGTGGGACATACTCAGCTGTGGACCACGCATGGCACCTTCTCACTCTGCTCCAGAATCAGGAGCTATCTCCGCTGCAATGGTCTTCCCTTGCCTTGCTTTCTTTATGTGTTCAAAATTGTCTCCCCAAAAAACTGAACCTACAATTAATATTTGCTACCAAGAGGGGGCAGTGGTACCTAGTCAGGAATACACCCTATCTGTTTTTCTGAGTTTGTTTGTTGTTTGTTTGTTTGTTTTTAATGGTTTACAGAAATTGGAGCTTAATGGATAGCTTAAACACTCAACGGAAGAATAGCCAGTCTCACAGAGCCAATTTTTATGTATAATTTAATACTGTTTTATTAGTTCATGGCTAGCATGAGTCTCAAGATTATTTCTGAATTCTCTCAATAGCTTGGAAAAGAGAAACCTTTAACTCTTTTTTTTTATTTACTTGTGTTGAAGTTGATAGTTCTAGGTTTTTATATAATTCTCTAACTCTTGTAACTTCTCTTACAATTAATTAAAATCCTTGTAGCTTCTGTTACAACGAAGGATTATACCTATTTGAGTCTCTCAGTCCACGACGTAAAGGACTTGCCACCTGGAACCTCCCTCCAGTCCTTGTCTCTTACAGTTTTCTGTATTTCCCTCCCCTGCGGTCATCCTGGTAAAAATGCTTGATTGTCTCTCCTTGAGACAGTAAGTTTTCACTCCTAAGTACAAACATCTCAACAAAAATCTGCAGTAGCAAAAATACGTAAAATGATAAAATAATTACTATTCACAACCGACTACAGTACGTTTCCCAAATGTTGGTTTCGTTTAAGAGAATCATGCACACAGCACCCAAATTATTGCAGACTCTAACTCGGTTGGGTGTGATTTAATGTTTTCTCTATATGTAAAGAAGTCTCCTTCCAACGCTGAGAAAAAACCGAGCTAAGTTTGGTCACAGAATAAGGCTCTCAGTTCCCGCCGGACTCACCTGACTCACCAAGTGAGGTATCGGATGTCACCTTTGACATCTCGCTAACATGGCTGTTATTTAATTGTTCTAATCTTGGGGAATCATGATGTGACTTACAGGGATGAACCCGAGAGGCCCCAAGTATCCCACAATGGCGCATCGATTACTTTGAATTAAAGTTACTGCACAAGCAGCTGCTGCCAGAAGGGCACCTTGACCCTCCTTTATCTCACTGAACAGCAGGAAAAAAGGTCTCCCCTGTGAAAGGCGCCCTCCCCACACCTGGAAGTCACGCCTTATCACTGGAGTTAAGCAACCCAAAGCCGAAAATTTTGTCTAAACAAATCTTGTTGCTTCTTTTTAATGTACTAATTTGTTAATTCCTCATTAATGAAAACCCCAACCTTGCTTAGATTCCTTTTTAATGAGCGCTAACTTTCTTTGTCCTATCAATTTCTCACAAATGTACTGTTTTGTTTGTTTGTCTGTTTTTGTCGGAAAAGTATGAAAAGGTGCCTGGTTCGATCATTTCCTTGAGCCACATTTTATGATCTGAACATTATATTGTGATTCTTCCGGACACACGTATTCCATTGGTTTTTCTCCTGTCAATCCAGCCTTGTGTCAATTTTATTCTTTTATTATTAGTCTAGCCATAAGAACCACAGAAGTGGGGCAGGGTTGGGGGGGTTCTCCCGGTTCCTGACAACATAGTCATGGAAATATCTGAGGATAAGATTAAGAGGCAAACCTCTTCCTCCTTTTAAAATATAATAACTATTACTACTAGTAGGCATATAACTATTACCCCCTCATATATGCATGAAGCTGTGAAGCTTAACAAAGTCCTTTGATATGTCTTCTGATTTAATCTTTACAGCTGCTATTTATTCATATTCTCAACAAATGATTTTCAGTGCCTATGGTGCTATGTGTTAAACTTAATGCAGGCTCTACGGGCTGGAACGAGCTCAGAGAGGTTAAACTACTTGCCTAGGTCCCCTGGTTGTCCAGGGCTCCTGATGAGGTGATGTTCTAATCCCTTGTCCTTCCAACAAAACAAAATTGCCTGGTTTCTATCGCTCTCTCGTCATCACTACGTGGTGTGATAAACTAATTTCAACTCTGCTGTTAATGATTGATAATGGTTTACGTGTTCTCCTTCCCAAAGTAAGAGCATTTTAACTTCAGCCTTTAGTGTCTCCCAGATCATCGCCAAACGGGATGAGTGACATGACAGGGGGACTGAGCAAACATTTGGTGAGAAGGGAAAGGAGGGGACACAGTGGTGCGAGATCCTCAAATCATATAGCTGCCTGACTACCCTGCACTGAACACTAGGAAGACGCGGGGTCGTGTCTACTTCCTATGCGGGACTAATAGCAATAGTGGCCTAACAAAACGGCTGTCACCTCTGCACTGTGACAGCGTCCTGTGACTACCCCTCACTCCCAGCAGCTTCTGTAATCTTTTTAACCACACTTCTCCAGGACAGCAATGGTGCCTTCTCACATGCCACCTAAAGTGTTCCCTGGAGGCTGTCCCCGTAAGCCAGTGCAGAGCAGAGAGCGAAACCCATGGTTCAAGGAGTCAGTTGATTCCAGATGAAAAAAAAAACCTCTTTCCTCAAATTACCTAAGTAATTGCCCCATCCTTCTGCCTCGCTTTGGGGACAGTTAATAGGAAAAGGTACTCACTCTGCACAGTGAACAAATCCATTCACTACTTCCACCCTGAGGCAATGCAGCCACTCATCCCTGCTCCCCCTCTGCTCTCTCCCAGTTATCAGCCCTCACTTGGCAATACCCTCCTGAACCCTTAGAAGCTCCAACGAGACAGACACATCACTATTTAGCCACAGAAGCGATGAAAGGTGAGTCCCCAAACTCTTGGAAATCCAGGAAAGATGGAAAATAGGGCTATATCCTCCAAATTTAGCTGTCTATATTATTTGAATTTATCAAATAATCGTTGGGGTTTCGTAGACACCAGTTACTCGTCCGATCCGAGATATTATTTGGCAACCTGTAACGCTTCCCAGCCTTCTCGACGGGACACGGCATAAACAGTGATAATATTTGTATAGTCTTCCGTGTAAACAGCTGGAGACTTAAAATCTCTGATAAAATCAGAGGCGACCAGTTCCAGGTCACTTGGGTCACTTCGGTGCTTGTCCAGACACTAAGGGGGCTGAGAAACCAATACTGTGGTGACCCGTTAGGATGCTTAGTCCTTGTCAACCACACGGCCTGAAGTCCTCTAACCAAGGTGCTGTCTCACCTCACCCCCGGCTCAGCCAGCCCCCTCCATCTCTCTTCCCCACGCCCGCCAATCACTCGGCCCTCAGTCAAGACCGCCGTCCCTTGCCGTAACCCTCTGGGCCAGCTGCTACTCAATCAGCGTACCCTTTTCCTCCCACCGAAAATGCCTAAGATTCCGTCTGAAAAGCTTATCTGGATAATCACCTTCGAAAACGAACATGAATTTCTCAGGGAAAGTCCTCAGCCGCTGTCCCCTCTCCAAAGTATCATTCTCCGTCCCCACTGAGCTGGAGCTAGAAGGGGTCCCTCTCTGGTGGGATGTGTGACCAGGAAACAACTTGCTTCAGATTCACCTCTGGGGCTCGTTTGAAGATGCAAATTTCCAAGCTCCCCCTCCAGCTACTCAATCCGCATGGGGCGGCAAGGCGGGGGACCCTACGTCCTACCCCAGCCCCCAAGGCGATTGCTCTGCACAGTGCCACCTGGGAATTACAGGCTCTGATTTCACCCAGCTCCCTCTCTTAACAGAGAAGGAAGTGGAAAACCGGCACGGAAGGGTGAAACGCGCTTGTCCAAGGACGCTCGCGGTTAAGGTGAGCAGACCGGGCCTGGAACGCACCTCGCTCATCCGCACAGCCCGAGCCGCGACAGCGCCCCCCAGCCCGCCCCCTGCACTCACCCGCTTGTAGATGTCCTCCCGGCTGGCCTCATACTTCTGCTGCATACGCTCCTCCAGGAAGTAGATGCGCAGCTTGAGGCTGAAGTTCTCCTTCTTCAGGTCATTGAGGTGCTGGGACAGAGTGCGATATCCATTAGACATGGTGGGCACCCATGGGGAGGAGCGTGCCCGGTCACCCCTTCACCCCAGCACCGCGGCGCGGCTGCCCCGCGGCATGAAGCGCGCGGCCGGGACGCTGCGGAGGCTACGGCCACATGGCCCGGGTGGCTGGCGCGCCCTCCAGGACTCGGGACCAGGCTGGCTGCTCTGGCTGCTGCAGCGCAGCGCACTTTCCTTTTTTACCTCTGGGAGGTATTTGCGGAATTCCTGACGGAGGGACATGCGGCCTGAACTCAGACACAAGTGGTGTAACCCGACTCCCAGCCGGGGCTCCGAGCTGTCACCCTCCCAGAGCCGCCCAGGCCCAGCTGTAGACAGTTAACAGCTTCTCGAAAAAGAGCGGGGAGTGACTCCCACCCCCTCCCCCCGGAGCCTCCAGGAAATGGGGAATGGGAGTAATTCAAGGTGATTCTGGGGTTACAAAAAGAGAAGGAAACGAAGGGGGGGGGGAGGCGGTATTTAAGCTCCTGGTGGCTGATTTGCACATTAAAACCCAAAGGAGTGTGGCCAGAAGCAAGAAATAAGGTCTCTATAGAGATCACCTGTACACGAATGGCCCGCGGAATGGTGATGTCCCCGTTCTGTCAGGTGCGAATCTTAAAGAGAGGTCCCTGATGTCCTCTGTTGGCCCAGAGGCTCACCCCTCATCAGTTCCTTCCCAGTTTTCCTCACCAGACTTAACCATCCCTGAGGTGCTTAGATAAATAGCCTTTATTACCATGAGCCTCCTCCCTAAACAGCAGAGCCACCCACAGGAAGAGCTAGTCTTCTAGTTCAGTGGAGTCTTTGCACAAGCTCACAGAAAGGCAGGGTCCAGGGTCCTCCTCACCAGGGGTGAGGGAGAGAGAGAGTGGGAGGGGGCGCAGGCGGCAGCCTGGAGCCCAGAGATTTCGGCCAGCCACTGGTTCTTAACTCGGGCACCTGCCAAGCGGAGCCAGGCACTCATCACCAGATCCTGCTCGCAAAGCGATTTAAGATCCTCGAATGACAGCTGCAACATTAGCAGGAAGTGTTATTTATACCACATCACACGGGACATTGAAGGTGACTGCGAGACGCACGGACACCAAACATAGGTTCTTGGTTGCAATGACACTGGGTTGGAAAAAAAAAAATCAGTATTCATGTCCAAAGTAAAGAAAACTAAAAAGTTGATACTTAATTCAAGTACTTACTCCCTTCCTCCCCGACCTACCCGCTCTTCAATCTTCTAATTCTTTCTTTACTCTTCCTAATCATTCCAATCAACATCTCTTGAGTCCCCCACCAGGGAGTATGCTAAACATGAGGGGTACAACGATGAAGGCAGCCCCAACTTTCAAAGAGCTACCTAGCTACGCAACTATAGGTGTGTGTTTCATACTCTAATCCTCCAAGCTTGTGTTAGTCACGCTTTTTACATTTTACACTGTAATCCAGGGCACACATGTGAATGAAGTACGTGTTTCACAAAGTAATGTCACTGAGACGGGGCATCACTTGTAAAATTCTTAATCTTTTAGCAGGAAATGAAATGAGACATGTCTCGCAGAGTTAATCTTTTTAGTAAACCTAGTTAAGTTTTTTTTCCTTTAGAAAAAAGGCTCTCTTCCTCAGATCCTGATAATTGCCCAAACTGGTCACTCAGATCCTCTGGCTATTGATAAGGGTCATCAGCCCATAGTTAGCAGAAATGGTGTTAAGTCAGACAGGGCCCTTAGAGTCTGAGGGGGGAGGGGACTTTAGGCCAAAGGTCTTTTTTTACTCTTTAAGAAATATATTAATCAAGACTGTTTCCCTTTACTTAATAATAGAAATTAA